AGAACAGTACATGCCTCCAGATAAGTTGCTCAGCCACAGTCCTAATGCAGTAGTCAAGTACTGATTTAGGGTTGTGTCAACGTGTTTCTCTTTTGAAAAAAAAAACAAAGGTTTTAAGCTGTCTGGTCACTTTATAGTAAAAACTCTTTCAAATACTGTAAGGATCAAACTTGCTTTATTTTCTTTGAATGACTTGAGCTCAAATCCTTCAGTGACTATTCTGAAAAAAAAAAAGATGATAATCATAAGTAATTACACTTGAACTGTATTTTAAGGATTTTTTTTCTATTTGAGATTATTGAATAGTTGTTAATTTTACCAATTTAATTTAAGGATATGTGCTGAATTAGCATATTAGATAATTAGTTTTATGGAAAGCAAGCTTAAAGAAAAGAAATTTATCCTCTCACCTTATAGCAATAGGTTACCTTTAGATAACTTGCTCTAGAGTTATTCCAGGGCTGAAAACCCATAATCAAGAGATAACCAAGGATTTTTCTACCATAATAACAAGCATTGTCATTGGTAATTGGGATGTTTTTTAAAATTTGAATTTGAGGTGTTTAATGCTTTCTCTGAAATGCACAGTTCTGCACAGAAGTAGTACATTCGTGTCCTTTGAAAGTGCAGTGTGTTTTGCAAGACGTCACTTATTTTGGCCTAAATTCCTCATTTAAGTCATTGTCCAACAAGCCTTTCAGGTAGAAGCTGCGTAGGTAGAAGGGTTTTTAGAGCGTGGCTGCTGTACAGGACAAGGAGGTCTGGAAGCAGCCCAAGGAAGCAGCTCCTGGGCAGGAGAGGGCACCAGGGAAATGCGAGCTAAGTGTCACCCTCAGCGCACACCCGCTCAGCTGGTGATCCTACCTGCTCATCCAACTACCCGCAGCGGAGTGTCAGCCAGGACTGACAAATTGTGTGGGAGGAAAACAATGCATTTTTTTTAACAAAAATTGTCTTTGAACAGTCTTTAAATAATAAAGGAGTTAACAAAACCTACTTTCCTGAAGCACTTTGGGAACCGTAAGTTAAGGTTTATATAAGAGTGTAAATATGATTACTTATTTAAGACGTCTCACATTTCCCTTCACATCTTCTCTTCCTCCTCCTCCTCATTACTTGTTTACTGGGACGATGCTGTTTGCATTCATTAATATGTGTCCAAAACGGGAGGCACTGGTGGATGTGGCAGAGGAGATTGGCTGAGAGAGCCAGCGGGAGCAGGGGGGAAGCAGGGGGCTGCCGGGAGGGGGACATTATTAAAAAGTAAGAGCAGGTTAGCAAGAGGGGAAGAATATTGGGTTTCTTTTGTGATTAAATATTTCTCATCCTAAAGAATTTGCAATATCTTTGTTTTAGGGTTGCTGGTTTTTTAGTGGGCATTTCTTAATTTTTTTAAATATTCAAGACAATAAAAGTTTGGAGCCTCATGATAAAAAAAAATCAGAACTGTGTCTAGACTTTAGTTTTCAAAGTGGGTGATATAATCCATATTTTTTGGCATTCTGATTGAAAGCTAATTCAGACTAGTGCTGGTCCTACTTCACACGTGCCATGTTTTAGTCTATGTCTTTTTGTCTGCTGTCAGTCCTGTGTGTTTTGATGAACCCTGAGATGGGTAGGGATATCCTCAGTGAATAGGAAGCCGAAACAAAACACTCCAAGGAGAACAGAAACATCCCTCGTCTGTGTCTTGGATGGCAAAAACACCTATCTGTGTGGCGGTGACCCAACCCCCAAGGTGCTGCCTTCACAGCTTCTGGGGGCTTTGCAACATGCTTAGTGACAGGGACCTGCGAGGCCAGCTTTGTAAGGAGGATAAGCTGGCTCTACAGCAAAGGGACTGCTCGGGTATCAGAAAACCAAACTGTGCCACTTTCCTTTCAAACACATCTCCTGTCTATCACTCTTGGCCATATTATTCCTTCATAAAAACTGGTTTCTCTGTTTTGAAGTACTTCTTTCCCTTCTTATCTATGAAAGCCCTTCCTGTAGCTTTTCTCTTATTGACTCCATCTCTTCATGTCTTATTTTCCCTTCCTGGTACAAACTCTGATGAATTCACCCTCTTTCTGACCTTTTCATTACTCAGCTTGGAAAACATGTTAAATACAACCACCCCAGTAATTTTTTGGCATATCTTTATGTGGGAGACAATGAGATGAATAGGATTCTAACACAGTATTTTGTTATGGGATTCAGGTTCTTTATCCATAAATTCTGTGTTTTCCCACTGATGTCAAAACAATCTTGGGAATTATTAGTTCTGAGTACAGTCAAAACATTGGTGAAAAAAAGAAAAAAGAAAAACAGCATTCTGGGACCACATTGCAGTTATACCCACCTGAAATAGAGGAGTACTCAGACATTTTCCTTGTAGGCATTTAGACGTCAAAGTCTAACTTAGGCTTCTTAATGGAAAATAAATGGATCAATCAATGACGAAGTTGTGTCATTTACTCCACTGGGCTTTTTCATTGGTAAGCTGTACTGTTAAAATGATTCAATGTAGCATACTTTTCAGAAGCTATCAAAAACTAGGGCCTAAATTCTTCTATGTAATTGAACAAGGAAGATGTTCCCAGCTGATTAGAGGCAATGCTTTAACCAAATTACTGTTCCAGCTGTAAATTATACTGAAATCAGCACCATTTCTTTCTTTACAATCAGTAAAGTGGTGTGGTGTTACATATTTAGAAGAAGAAAAGGCTAATTTAAACCACACACATGCAGTTTGCCTAGATTTGGCCAAGGTTTATAAACAAGTTAAAATGGGCAGTGTAATTTCCAAACACAAGCTCTTCAATAAGAGCTGTGTAGGTGTATTTTAGAGTTCCGACACCTTGTGTATTGCCTGAAGCATTTGTAGAATATTGAAAATTAAATTGAACAGTAAGAGAAATAATTTCTCAGCTGAGCATCTTGCTAATGTATGCTGTATTTTGCAGCTGTATCTACTAAAAAGATACACTTGATCATGTGAATATTACTGCTAATGCATGTATTTCTTGGGCTGATCATGTCCGTTTGTAAGATAAATGGCTATTTCTTTATTTTAATTGTGTATAGGATACCTCTGATTTTCTGTTGCAGGACCTGGTTCTTGGAGATGAGTGGGGTGGGCAAGCCGCAAGGGAGCTTGCAGCACGTTGTAGCACAGAGATCTTTGCAGGGGGATGCTTCTTGTCTGCGCTATCACTTTTTGCAGCGGGTAAGCGAGCAGACAGAGTTCACCTCTCTCAGAATTTACAAATGCCAGGAATTTTTTCCCACTCACGTTGAAACATTTTCTGCAACTGCATCTCCTGCTAAATCCTAGACTATCTCAGATGGGTTTTAGGCTGATACAGACTGACGCAAAGTAGCTGCAGAGTAATCCAGCGACTCCATGATAGGAAATCATGACCCTTGAAATGTGCTTGCTTGTTTTGTCTTATTAAATGTTCCCTATCCAGGTAAGGGGGTGGGGGCAGCACTGGGTTATTCTTCGCTAGGAGCCTCATCTCTTGAGCCCTTTCCTACCCGTGAAGGCAGCAATCTGGATGGCAGCTCAGCAGGCCTGCGCAGGACTTCAGCCTGCTCTGTCCCGCTCCTGAGTCCGGTCACATCCACCCCGTGCCTGGGCAATGAGCATCGCCGGTGGCTTGCGGAGGGACCGTCCCAGCGTGGCCCGTGACAAGCAGGGCGTCGTGACAGGCCAGCTGAGCTGCAATGCGTGTGTCCTGTAACCCACCCTCCCGCCCGCGGAGCCGGCTTTCGCTGTGGGCGCTCACAGGGGGACCGACCACGGCTCCGAGTAACACGAGGATTCGCAGGTAAAGACTTAATCGCATTCCTTCTTTAGAAACTGCTGAGTTATATGTAACATAGAAGTGCACTTTTGTTATGAGAGCCGACCCTGGTGGGCGCAGGGCTCACGTTCGGGCACCCTGACTGCCTGACGCGGGACAGAACATGGTTCCTGCTCAGCAGGCAGCTCTCATGCCTCCATCGTTACCCCGAAGGAGGCCAAGAGCTGCTGGGCGGTCGCACATGAGGAGCTCTGCCGTTGTTGCCTGCAGATGGGCTTGTGGAGCTCACCGAGAGTGGGCAGCAAACGTGCCCCCTCGGCCGAGCGCGCAGAGGGACGTGTGAGTCAGCGTCGGGCCGCGAGGCCGCGAGCTGCTCTCCCCCTGAGCTCCCGCCGCGCCGCACACACACACGGGCCAAGCAGAGCTGCTGAGCAAGCTGCTGGTTTACAGCTCGTCTTCTAGGTATAACAGCGTGTTGAAACAGTACAGATTCAAAGGGGAAAAGCCCCGGAGCCTACACAGTCCCCCAAGTGCCCTGCCAGCAATGCCAGTCCCTTTTGGGAGGTCTAATCTGTAATATCATATGGATTTATTGGATAATCTATCTATTTACCGGACAGTCCTCTTCCTTGTTAGCGTTCTGAATGCAATTGCCAAAGGTGCTCGTTAAATCTCATTTAGGAGGAGAGCCACAGAAAGCCAAAATGCTAATGAGTTCTCCTTAATTGTAAACACGGGGCACTGATAAGAATGAAACTCCATCCTCCGTCCCGAGAGGAGTTCTTACGTGTTTCCTACTTACGCCGCTTTTTATCTGATTCTGCTTCACTTCTCTCCTTAGGCAGGTTAATAGACACTTGAAGAGGCAAATAACAGTATTGCACCTTCCTTGCAGCCTTTTGAAAGACTTTTGAGGTTGCAAAATATTTTTTTGAAACTTATTATTGGAAAAAAAGAGATTATTGAACGATCAGGCAGACGGCGTTTTTTTTAGGCTGGAACAACCTGTTCCATAGCACTCTCATGAACACGTTAGTAACTCTTATTTATTGCTGATGGGACAGTTCCTAGAATGTGATAAGTGTGAAACAGCCCATAGTTTTATCACTCTTGGTTGCTGCCCACTCCTGCTAAAAAAAGGTTGATTGTGATCATTAAGCTGCAGGTAGGCAGTGCCTCTGGACTGTAAAATAGGAATGTTAGTATGTAGTGATGAAAGCAGACTTTGCTCAACACCTGTCTATATATATTGCAGGTCTCAGTGGCTGCCCAGCTGATCCATTCACTTCATTGCCTGCAAAGTACGACGTGGTAAGTAAAACAACTAAGATGAAGTTTGTTTGCTTATTTATTAAAATACTTGGCTAGGTTATAAACCTAGAGCTCAGCGTTCATTGCTCTAGAAATGGCAGCAGTGAGAGCTAATGTAGGGAGCTGGAGTGGCAAGTGAAATGTCATCCAGCTTCCAGCATTTACAGCTTGTGTTCTTTAACTGCATTTATATTGTAAGGATTTTTTTAAAATACATATGGCACTCACGCTTTTTTAAAAAATACTTTTAAACAAGGACTAGATTTACACAAACTATATTAGAATAACTAGATTTATTTTTGTTGCTTACTACAAAGGAAATAAATATATTAGCTGCCAGAGATAAAATAATTGTCTATAACATAAAAACTATCATTTTAACTATTGTTTGGATTAGAAAGCAGCGAGATTTTCAGTCATAGTGTTCAGTGGTATTGGATACTGGAAAGTGTCTATGATGTGATTAATGAAACATATTGGAAGGAAATACTGCCAGTCAGTGTGTTAGCATAGATAGTGTGTAATGTCTGTGTGCAGCACTGTTGCAGTGCCAGGCTGTTCTTGATGGAAACATTTTCTTATGCTAATTCGGTTTGATATACTGCGGTAGAAGGAATACATTAGTCTAATGTGCTTAGTTCAACTAATGTGGCAGTAGGCAGGAATCAGCTGGTATCTCAGTAACTTTTATTAGCAGCTCTTCCATGTGATCAGTAAGTCTTTTTAATGTCATTACTTTTTCCTTTCTGGATTTTTTTTTTTTTACTATGTGTTTCATGTCAGGGATGGGGTAGGTGTCTGATTTAGTTATTTTACTGAGAAGTTTTTAATTTTCTCCTAAAATTTGTTGTTATTGTTTTATTTAAATATGCACTAGACATTTCAGGTAGTTTATTGATATATTTTCAATTTGGGGTCTTAACAGGCGGTGTCTGGTGCTTTGCTTATTTGTGAACACAAGAACTAATGTTTGGAATTTGTTTTCTGTCTGCACTAGCTTAGAAATATGTTTTATCTATGTTTTTAGTTTTGCCATGTGTTAGATTCAGGCTTGTGAGAAAGAAGTCTCAGGGATTGGAAGGCATAAACAGTGAGTACAATACTTATTTCTCTAGCTTTCACGCAGCTGTTTTTTCCTTAACTGCACATTAGGTAACAGTTTACACCCTGGGTAAGCACATTAACTTATTTAGAGAAAGAGCCCCAAGGAAGTGGCTGGTGCCAGAGCAAAGACAAAATTTGCTCCTAGCAAGGCTGAATTATTGCTGGCATTTATTTAACTTCTTACCTGTTCATTTGCACTTGGGGCTTTGTGGCTGCAAAGGAACAGGTTCTTGGACAAAATTATCAGCTGATGTAAAGGAACTAAATTAATTCATGCTGGCTAAGAATCTCTTCTCTCTATACAGTTTGCTTCTATGTATGAAATAATGTGTTTTGAGGGAAAAATTAATATGTCTTTAATGTGTGTATAAGAAGGAATGCTATGTAGCTATATATTTACTTCTATAAAGTATTCATGATAAATATTTATACTTGCCAATTTGTACAGCTGGATATCAGATTAGTTGATTTTTAACATGAAGTCTGTAACAGCGTAGTGAATGGCAAGAAAGAGATGTGTATGGGTAGAAACTGAGAGAGAGGAGGGAGAGGAAGAGAGAGTACGAGAGAGGAGTCTGGCTGGAACCGAAACTTGATTCAGGGCTGCTTGAGCAACCAGGAAAAAAACTCCAGCTGCGTGTGTAGTCACGCTGCTGTTTGCAGTTATTGCCAGCTCTATGTGAGAATAGTGCTATTTTCTCCAGAAATTTCATGTCATTCTGATTTCACTTTGCCTGTTCCCCTAGAAGTTGGATTTCTTTAGGGCTTACTGCTTCGTCCCGCATATTCCGTGCACAGGTTGCCCTCTCGGCGAGCTGTCATGGCTGGAGGGCTACAAACAATGCCACGCAGACACACGCAAACGCTGCTCGCTGTGTTAAGTCCAGCAAAATTAATAGATTTACGGTTGTTTCTGAGATGAGACTCAAAAGCACAGGAAGCCGAGCCCCACAACAGAGAAAATGTTGTAACAGCTCAGTGAGTCACTGGGGGAGGCAGGACGGGATAACTGGATGACACCTAGTGTTGCTCAGATAATTCACTGGGAGTTCAGCTCGCAAGAATGTGGCCGTGAGAGAATGGCTGTAAACATCATGAGAGCCCACTTCGGCTCCGACTTTGTATCTCGCGTTTTCCTCCATGGCCTTAATTCCGTTGATTTCTTTTTATCTCCCTCTCGGGGGCTTCGGTTTCTTCCCTTGGTTGCAAGGATGTCACGGGTAGTTAGCATTTTCCGAAGGAAAGACAATACTTCCAAGGGAAGGAGCGAGCGGTGCGGGCTGGCGCGAGAGGCTCCGCGGCGCGAGCTGCTCAGCAAGGCCGGGTTACAGCCCGTGCAGGCGTTAGCTTTCAGCCCTTTGCAATATGCATAGAATATTTTGACCTGCTGCTGCCAGAAGGAAGCAGCTCCCGTTTCAGCACCTGTCTAAACAGGAGGATGCCCGCAGCGGTCGCCTGGGCTCGAGCCGGCCCGCTCCGCCCTGGCGCCCGCGCTGCTGCGTCCCGCCAGCGCCGGCTCTGCGTTGCGGGCGGTCACCAGCCCACCCGCTGCCTGTCCTAACGCATTCCCTCGCTGCATGGCTGTATCCACAGTGCCCAAAAGTATATCCGCCAGGTCTGTGCTCTTAGATCCCTCTCCTCTTGCCTTTTGCTACTTTAGCTACTTCTGTCTTGTGCAGAGTGATGTCTTTCGTAGATGGGCTTCTACACAGTGCCTGACATTAGCCCTTCCAAAGTGGCAGCTAATACGAGGGGCCAGGAATTGGCACAGGTACCTTTGTCATGCCGCTGCTCTGTTCTGCTGCAGCGCCCCGGCTTACTTAACAATATTTTTCTCAAGACATCAGTATCTGTCTTTGGGACAAGAAAAAATTCTCTGATGGAAAATTGCAGAATGTGGATTATCTTGTAGCATGGAGATTAATTAACAGTAAGTAGCTGGGGTCAAGACTCTTAAGAGCCAGTGTATCAGGTGGCTGTAAATTATCTCCTCAGCTGTTTCAATTAACAAGAGTTGGGATCTGTAGAAAGTTCGTAACACTTCAAGGATCTGTGTGGTTCTTCAGTCCTTGATACCAGTCACACAGAACAGTAACACCACTGCAAGCCCAGACACACAAGGCAAATGCTGTTAGGACATCTGGTGTTCAAGTCTGCCAAAGCAGACCTTGATTAGGACTTGTACGAATAGTTTTATATATGTACTTCGAAAAAAACACCCGTTTCCTTAAAGAGGTGCTCAATTCCCATTCTAGTGTATTTAGCACATAAAAACATAAACAACAGTAATGAAAGACATACCTGTGAGATCCTGAGCCCTTCGGCAATATGAGATACACTTATGAAAATATGCATTGCCAAATTCTTGAATGAGGAGAATTTATTTTGGAGACATAAAGGTAGTTCCTCTGCTGAAGCTTTGAAGCTGTTTTTTTTTCTAGCAAGTGCATCAGTTCCATTCCCATTCTGTAACCATGGAGGCTGAACCCTTCGTTTCTGCACTGAATATCAGTGCAACAGAAGAGCTGTCAAAGTAGCTTCTGGCATCCCGCAGGCTGGCGTTGTTCAGCATATTCTACATCTCTCCTTGGTGGGAATATATTGCCAATGCAATTTCACATCTGAACTTCCTATGCAGCTTCATGGTTGTTTTTCACTTATACACTTATGCCGAGCAGATATTTTTATATAGGGCTCTTAAATTGCTGAGCATATGTAAACGCAACTTGTTTAACAAGATGGTGGTGTTCTGGTACAGGTGGGGCTTGGAGGTTGTGCTGGCACAGATGAAAATATAAGAATTTGCTCACAGCAAATGAAAAATCTTGTTGTAACAAGTAAGAGTGATTTTCCTCTATCTAGTCTGAGATCTTCCTCTGTGTATCTTAGAAGCTACTATGGATCTTATGCCTCTAGAAATGAGTGTGTTAAAGCACAGTTTTTGCTAATGGCATTCCAGAATAATTTTTCCTGTCCGTGTAGAAAGGGAGGAATCCTGTCCTCAGTGGAGGACCTAAATCAATGACTTTGTAAGGCATGAGTGTACATCTGTGACATGTCTTCCAGCTAAGGTTGAAAGCAAGAACAGGACGTGTGGCTTTGATGTGGGCAAGGACAAAACATTTTCAACACCAGCCGCATAAAAGATCGTGATTAGATGAATGGTTAATTGCACTTCCTTACCATGGCTGCTGAACATAGTTGAACCTTGTTTACAGGAGCATGATACCCACCCTAACCCTGACTCTTGGAGGCTGGACACAAGTTTTCTTGTTGGTTCAGCCCAGCCAGTGCTAGATTTACTTGGCCAGATAAATATTATGGATCTTTCAGGTTTTGGTTCAAGAAATAACAATCTCCTTTGCTTGTGCCTGGGCAAGATTTGTTATTAATGCTTTTACTTGTGCTTTTATTAGGCCTGCAGGATTTTGCCACATGACTTAAAATATTTACCAAATGTGCTCAAACAGCCTCAGGAAGGTAGAGGTGCAGGCAGAAAACCTGCACTGAATGGGGGGAGCCAGCAGCTTCTCCTGATGCTGTTGCTATTTCGCCTTCATCAAGTATGGGACTTTTGGGCACACTGGCAAGTGGCCATTGCCCTTTTAGTGACACTGTTGTCCGGCTGTTCAGCATGGATCCAGGCAACAGGCACTTGAAATTCTGGGGACTTCCTTCAACTTTTCCCTTTATGTCACCATGGAAATGAACCAGGAAAGGCAACAAGATTATCCTTAGCACGCATAGCCCAAATCGGACAAAGTTTCAGGGAAGAAATTTCTAACTTCGTTTGCTAGGGATTGTATATTGGATTCCTAGTTTGGTGCCAGACGTCAGTTAAAACCAGAGGATGGAAAAAAGTTAGAGAGTCTTCTGAGGTTTTGATGAAAGGAGATAACACTAGCTAGTTAAATACTTACAGTTTGGAAAGCTGTGAATCTTTACTTTCAAGATAGCTAAAAATAAACAAACATGCAAGCATGAGACAGAAATAATTTCTAAAAATTGTGTAAGTTGCACAAATAAACTGTGTGATTCCATAAATAACATAGCAATTTCACAAATAAAGAAAAACAACATAAAGAGGAATAATAAAAATAAAAACCAAAACCCTGTGTTCAGGACCAAATTGTTTCCACTCCATTTCCATCTCTTTTTCTCTTAGAGACAATCCTGTTTCTTGCCTACCTTGTTGTGAGTTCAATGTTTTGACTGCACACACATTTTAATTTTTTGAGTACTTTGTTAGTTGTAGATCATGGCTCCTTGGCCTGAGGTGGAAAAGCCTGAAACCAATAACTATATAGGGGACTCTTCCAAACAAAACCAGAACATGCCTGGAAAGGAAGGAGAAAATCATAAAGGTAATGTGTGCTCACCTGTGCGTTTCAATGGGATGTTTAGGGTTTTGGGCGAAGATTGAAGATAACGAATTCTGTCTTTGTGTGTGTTATATTTCATTAGGCAATGTAGCTTCGCTTGGAAATAAAGGGGAAATTCAACCTGCGTTTTCCACAATAGCCTTGATAGATGAGACAAGGCCAGAAGAAGAGGACCCATGGGCTCTGCCAGAACTTGCAGACACTGGGGTGAAGTGGTCAGGTAGTCATTTCTCAGTGTGCAAGTTACCTTCTCTTTTCCATCACTTCTGCTCTGTTTGTCTAAATTCATTTTCTGAAACGAGAAATTCTGGAGAACAGAATTTCAGATCTGAGCACAAATTTTCAGGTGTGGGCTTTACGTTCTCTGTGTCACAGGTAAAGTGTTATATTTTCTCAGATAAGAAGAATCTGGAAATCATGCCACTTATTGTACTTAAAGCCTGAGAAAATGTGCATAACAATCCAAAAGAGATATGATCTTATTTTCAGGCTCTCACTAGTTCTTCTTAACAGAGTTAGATGGATGTGTAAAACCAAGGGTCAATCTCAGATTTCGTAAAGCCTTTGTATTATATCCAAAGCTTTTAACTGTAATGGTTTTTTAGTTAAAAATTGCTTAAGAACAACATTCTTTTGGATTTAATCATGCACCTGACTCACAACACTGTCCTTGACTCCACAGTTTCTCCTGGAGCACTAAACTGTTCCAGAGAGAATGCCGGATACATCAAACGCATTTTTCTTTATGTTTAACTTATTTGTTTTGCAGAACTGGATAGAAAAGGGAAAATCATTCGTGTATTGTATGGGATAGGGAAGTTTATCATCTTGCTTGGATTACTCTACTTATTCGTGTGTTCCCTGGACGTGCTGAGCTCTGCTTTTCAACTGGTAGGAGGTATGAAAATGCTTCTAAAATATCAAGAATGAGCTATGAATAAGACAGTAAATCTCTTCTGAGATTAGAAGCATCTGTCTTCACCAGCATGCTTAACAGATTTATACATGCAGAGATGGATTCAGAAGGAAGTATTTCTGATTGAAGATTGACCTCCCTTGAAAGGGGCCTTTGTTTCTGAAATTCCAAAGTGCTGTTGATGTTAGGGATTACTGGCCTGCACTACTTATGAAGTTCCCGATACTTCACTGATAATTCACAGAACTACACCCATGCATAAATCTATCTCATGTGAAAATCATTTAAACAGGAAGAAATACGAAAATGTATCCTTGATCAAAGCATTCAACACTGAAATACCTCAAAAATCCTTTATAAATGAAGACTACTGAAATGTAATTTTTTTATTTGCTTCTTTCCAAGAGTGAAATTTTGCTCATGGATTCAGAGGTGGCAGTCAGAGAAGTATGTGGGCTTCTGTGTAGTTTTTCTAGATTTTTAGAACCGCAAAAACCCTACAGAAACAGAAATAATAGGAACTGAATTAGTCAGAATTATTAAAGTAGTTTTTGGAAGTAACCAAAAATATTAAGACAGTTATAGCATTTGAATGTATATTTGAATTTTATTGTCTTTCCATTGATGGAGGTAGTTACGTTGACTTCTCTATAGAGCTTACTAGAGCTTTTTCAGTTGCTGAAATGAAAGAATATAAAATATTCTCTGATATTGGGGAAACTGAGAGTTTAGGAACTGAGTTAGCATCCCTGGCCTACCTCACCTTGTCCCATCTTTCAGCTGACGAGCATGGCCACACGCGTATCACTTTATTGTTTGGATGTTCTTTAATCAAATGCTCTGCTAATTTCTAACTATTTTAAACTTTACCTAGCACTTCCCTGACTCTAAGAATATGTTTTCATAGGTAAAGCAGCAGGGGACATTTTTCAAGATGACTCCGTGTTGTCTAATCCAGTTGCGGGATTGGTGATAGGCGTTCTAGTGACCGTCATGGTCCAGAGCTCCAGCACTTCTTCTTCCATTGTGGTCAGCATGGTGTCCTCCACACGTAAGTCTGGTTACGGTATCTTACTAGATCACCCACAAATCTTGGTGCAGGGTGTACCCCTGCCTTTCTTAAAACTGCAGGAACTTTGGGTATAAGAGTCAGGACTGCAGGAAAGGATTTTCGCAGCTGCTGCTATCAAACTAGAAAAAATAAATAAATGAATGCCCTGCAGAAAAGGGTGTCCATAATTGTAATGAAAAGTATAGGATCCTTTAGCATTGAACACATTAGCTTTGGAATTATCTGCACATGTTCCTCCTGTGAAGCAGTTACTGAATGTCATCTGCTTTAGTGGCATCATTTCAAAATTCTGCAGTAAGTAGGGTAATGCCTGGGAAGGAAAAGAATTTCTCTTAATCTGGCCCCTTACCATGTCATGAAAGGAGATAACCATATGCTGCAGATTCTGGGAGGACCAACTAGCTGGTACTGCCTTCCCAAGGGGCTTGACTAAAGCAAACATATCTGGATCAGAGTGCCTAACCCCACTGGGATCAAATGAAATCACGATTCCTATGACATTAATAGGTGTTAATTTTCACTCGACTGAATAGTTTGCTGATGCTCTGATTTGTTTCATTCAGAGCTTCCTTTTCTGCCTTCTAGTGCTGACAGTTCGCTCGGCAATTCCTATCATAATGGGGGCGAACATCGGCACTTCGGTCACAAACACAATCGTGGCGCTCATGCAAGCCGGGGACAGGAACGAGTTTAGAAGGTACTGTGCTTAAACTCCAGCTCTGAGGAGTTCGTTTGCTTTTCCTTAACAGATTTTCTTATGTATTCCCTGTCACTATTACAGTAATTCAGCTATTCTGCCATCCAACATTTAAATGTCTAGTTAGAAAAGTTGCAAGCAAACCTCTAAACCAGCCTTAATGAGCTATTAATACAGCAAATTTAAGTCATTTGGCATTTTACATCTTATCTCAATGAAGGTTTAAAAAAAAAAAAGGGGGGGAAAGAAAAAAGGTCTTATTTTACTTTTCCATCAGTGATAATGATGGCATTTCTGTAATATTCTGCTTCCTAAACTGTCAGCTTCAAAAGGACAGCAAGTTCTAAGCTATTCCTCATGTACGTGCCATTATAGTCAAAGCATAAGGCTGTGTAGATATATGGCTTCATATAGTTGAAGAAAAGCATACTGAGTTTCTTTAAAAGGTTCGTGTTTACGTAAGAGTCTGTCATTTTTCATATGATCTCACAGAAACATAAATTTTCAAACTGTTCGCACTATTTCACCTGCCTTTCATTTTCTCTTTATCATGGGAGGGTTGTGCAAAAAGTTAATATTACACTAATTTTGACCTAACCACTGTCCTTAAGAGAGGCCTTGAATTTCTAAGGTTTTGAAGTTCACAGAAAGCAAGATCTGATAAGATGAAGGAAATAACATTTCCTCTATTAAGTATAGATGGTGACAACTTTTAAATTGTCACTTGACGTTAGTTTTGAGAGAGCTTATAGCTTACTGGAGATAGGCAGTAAACTTGGGAGGGATGGGAGACTTTGGTACCTTGTTGTTTATGACACAAGCAGACACATGAAATAAATCAAGCCAGAAGCGTATTTCTGAGTTTTACTGTCCTGAATCTTTAATTTTGCTCACCTTTCTCACTTAAATTGCAGTGCTAGGGTAGCCTTATTGGTATCTGGGAAGCAAAAAAAGGAAAAAAAATAGTGACTAGCAATGATCAAAATATTTTCTCTGTGATAGTACTGTCAATTCTGCTGGTCTACTCTGAATGTTCCCCCTTGAGCAACTTGTCACGGGGAGCCAAAGTTACAGGATTAGCATTTCAGGGAGTGTTTCCTCTTCCTTTACTGCTCTTCACTTCAGAAGTTACATTGCAAAACATGATCAGGCAGATTGCTCAGGAGAACAGGGGAGTGATGGCCCCTGAGGATGCGGCTGCGGAGAGGAGGCTGAGAGGGAGATGTGCAGGAACACGTGCGAGGGCTACAAAGAGCATCTTGCTGCGTGAGCCAGGGAGAACAGCTCCTGGGGCAACCCCTGCTTAGGTGTTAAATACGCAACAGGAAGGGGCGAGAGGCAAAAACCAGCTCTACAATGACTTCTTTCTTCAGTCAATAATCTTGGCAGTCTTTGTTATGGGTTACTTTTTGTCTTTTCTTGTTTATCTTAGTTCAGTCTCTTGGCTGGTTGTTTTCGCTTGGGCACCTCAGGCAGAAAAAAATGTGCTCTTTAACAAAGCCACTGTCGTCTTCTGTGACCCTAAAATGAAATAATGCCCATCTCAAAATGGGCTGCTTTCTCACCCCTGGGGTTTCGTACCTAGCTGATGTTGTGCATATACTTCTTAATTAAAAGCAGCTCTGTTTTTTAATTTCCTCTTGCAGGGCTTTTGCTGGAGCTACAATTCACGATTTCTTCAATTGGCTTGCCGTATTTGCATTGCTGCCCATTGAGGTTGTTTCTGGTTATCTTTTCCATCTCACCAATGTTATAGTTGAGTCCTTTCATCTTGAAAGTGGCGACGATGCCCCTGAGCTACTAAAAGTTATCACGGACCCTTTTACAAAGCTCATCATTGAGGTACGCTCTTTCTGTCTCCAGCTGAAGCTTGCTTATTCAGTTATTACAATTAGTCAAACTTCTCTGTGTCCTTTGGGTTCAAGTTCATTGGCAAATAGATTTTTTCTTTTGGATCCTGCTTCTATTTCCCCCAAATTTCACCTTAATGATGATAAGCCTAACTAGGAGGACTGGGAATTGAGCTTGAAGTCTCCACAGCAGACACACAGGATGGCAACCTGTGGTCTCAATATTGTCAGATATTTGAGACACCTTAGCACATCAAGATTGCCTTCATGGGCCTTGAGGAGATGACACAGAAACTTTTGGAAACTCTCACCAGCCTGGAGGGGCAGCTAGACAGCAGAACAGCTCACAGCTCCTAAAATGACAGTAAACACTTATAGCTAGGCAGATGTGTCAGTGTAGGGTGAGTAAGATGAAGTGGGAGGTGATTTGAGGAGACTGAGGCATGGGTAAATGGTTGTGTATGCAGAGCAGTACCCTTCTCTCTGGGTAAATCCTGGAGAGACCGGTACCTGTTGGGTAGCAGGCCCACCAACAGAGATGATCATGTAGACCTTGCATGGCTGAGCAGGCATCTTGCTTCCTAAGCAGAGGAAGCTTCTGAGCAGAGGTGAACAGAAGTAGGTGATAAAAGTTAGAATAATGTTTCCTTTTTTTCCCCCTCCTTTTAGCTTGATAAATCAGTAATTAATGCAATTGCTACAAATGATGAATCTGCAAAAAACAAAAGCCTGGTAAAGATTTGGTGTGTAACTGTAACCAATACGGTGAGTATTATGTTAAATTACATGTTAAGCTCCTCAGGAAACATACTACTGATCTGTAGTTACACTCCTTATTATAGGATCATGAAATTAAATTTTTAAATAAGTATATATTTTTTCTTTTTTCATCAAAAAAGGAATGAAAACAATTTAATGTAATTTTTCCTTCACTGAAACCAAGCATGTCATGCCAATGGTGAGTGTGACCTGGTTGCCTGTAGTACTATGCAGCCCCTTGTTTGTCAGAACTGGCAGTTTGGAAAGAAGCCTTTCACTCCTTTCAAATCCAAGTTCCTTGAAATCCTGATATTCTTACTGACTCCCTGAAAGCAGAAAAATCTGCAATATGGTCACAACAAAACCTTTTTTCACCCACTATCTATCTATCTGATCTAACCAGGTTTAAGCTCATTTGTGTTACAGTGGCCTGTTGGCATTTGGTTATTTCAGCTTTCTTGGAGAGCTGCCCTCTAGAAAGCCTCTGTGGGGGCTAAATCCTGTTGTTCTTCACCTAAGAAACACTATAGCTTGAAGGCAGCTGTTGCTCAGATGGGCATTAATACATATTTTGGAAGACTATAGAGCTAGGTATTTGGTTTGTGTTCTTCTGCTGTCTAACAATCAGAGCATTAAATAGCTCCTGGATCTCCAAGAAAGCTGTTCCATTTGTTATTATGGATATAAATGTAATTCCTAAAGTCCCAAAGCAAAAGATACTTCAGGGCATGCAGCTGAGAGCTTAAAATTAAGTGCATGGGTTTTTAGAGGAGCCCAGCTCCTCTTGAATGACGACCTAGCTGGCCAGTGAAATGCTAGCTTGGGAGGTAGCCCTGGGAGCAGAGCTGCACGGACACGGAGCTCTGCCCAGGTTACCCAGCCACGGAGACGAGCGTCTCACCTCGGGGGACGCCGCGAGCGCCCCTGGTGCTGCCTGAGCGCTCGCAGCGAGGCCTGAGCCCTGCTCCCTCCTGTGCTCTGCCCGCTCTTAGGAGATAAGCTGTGGCATGGGAGCTGTAAGTGCAATACAGTCTTTTTCTGCATTTGCTTATATTGTGGCTATGTAACTGCTACCTCTGCACAGAATGAAATTACAAGAACACATCAAACTCCTGCATTTTTGAAATGAACTTGGTGGGTGATTGAACAGACTTGTGACAGATTTACGCTCTCCCCCATTTTTTTGTTAGTATGGAAATAAACATATTGACCCACTTTATAGCTAAAGCGTCTGGAAAAATTTCAAGACAGCGAGAAGCAATATTGTGTTGTATTTGCCATGGCTTATGTGCTTGGGTGGGCCAGTGACCAGGCTCCTTGCTGAAGATATGGGGGACGCTGCTGCTTCTCCTGCCTTCACCCAGTTTGGGTCATTCCGCACCAGCCAGAGGAGGACAGTGCATGTGCTTGTCCAGAGGCAGCACCCAGATTTTACCGCATTTCTGGAAAAGAGAATCAACGAAATGAATTTTAAAGATGCCTCCCATTCAGCAGTGTGCTTCCCAGTATATCTGGCTGGTAACCTCTGTTGCAGGGGTTGCAACAAAAATATTGCCTTGTCTTTAAAGCTGTGTCATCTAGTTACACTCCTGCTTATGAATCTGCCTTCAGTTATGAAAGCTTGATTGCAGGAAAGAAACAGGAGCACTTTGCCTGAGCTTTTAGTGAAGGGTTGCAGGTGACTGAACCATGTGCTTTGTCTGGCCATCTTTAGACCCTGCAGAATGTCACAATTCCACCTTCAGAAAACTGCACATTTCCTGAATTCTGCTGGTCCGAAGGAAACCTGACATGGACCCTCAAAAATATATCCGAAACAGAATATATTAGTAAATGTAAGTAGTAGAACTACATTTATTTTGGTGTCTTTACTGAGTTATGCAACTTTTTAATGTCTTTAGCAGACTGTTTTACAAGTAGTGGGTGATTGTATTATATGTGGGACAGCTGTGGGTGCAGCCAAAGCAGCTAGTGCTCCACTATAGTTAAACAGCTGGAGTTACTGGGACCATCACTGTATGTGGCTGCACATGGATCTCTTTCCATGCTCCCTGGTGTAGTAAATGAGGACTTCAGTATCAGGTCACTCCTGCTGCTCAGGTGCCCTGGTGCTATGGTTGCTCTGCTGGAGCAGTTTCTTGGATACCTCTATCCCCACGGGGGTCGTGGGAAGCAGGGTGGTGACCAGGCTGACCCATTTCCCATTTCTTTTTCAGGCCGGCATCTCTTTGCAGAAGCAAACCTGCCTGATCTTGCCATCGGTCTCATCCTTCTGGCCTTGTCCCTGCTTGTTCTGTGCTCCTGTTTGGTGATGATCGTTAAACTCCTAAACTCTGTGCTGAAGGGGCAGGTGGCAAGCGTTATCAAGAAGACGATCAACACTGGTAACTATGTGAAGCTCGTGTTCCGGCACAAGGCCTACATGCTTCCTCTAGAGCAAGCTGGAGAAAAAAAAGTTTTTTAGTGATTTCCATTTACTTGCTCTGTTGCACTCTTTAATGCTCCCCTGAGCAAGAACGGGCAGCCAGAGGAGCCCTTTTTGACCGAGCAGCGGTACCTCCTGTGTGAACACTTTTTTTTCACTCAGCTGCCGCTTCTTCATTCTCTCTTGAATGAAGGGAGAGGCTAGAACTTGCAGCAAGGAAGAACAGTTCTCACACATATCTGGGGTAAAAGGCAGGCCTCACAGAAATAGGGAGGGCAGCAAAGTGGTCCCCATTAGGTCTTCTCTTGTCCTGACTGAATCAGAAAAGAAGAGCAGAAAGTAATCACAACAAATAACCTGATTTTTGCAGGATGGGTCTTCAGTGTTTTCTGAAGATCAGATTTATCTAGCAGAGACCTGTTTGCAAAAACCAAGGCATTTTAGACACTTAAAGCCATTGTGTTGAACTCCATAGAAACATTTCTGTTTTTTTTTTCTTTTATTGCAGTAGAGCGTAATTACTACCCTGGATGAGGACAAAGGTCTACCAAGTCTAGTCATGTCAAAGTGTGTCTAGAGGTGGAAGTCTGGGGAGAGACTACAAAGATTAGGGTATATTTAGAGCAGTAGGACCAACGGTGACCCCAAATCTCAGCGTATGAGAAAATATACAAAGAATATATTTACATTTCAAATGTTTAATAGTATTTTAATTGCTATGTTATATCTTCTAAATACTTTCTAAATATGATGTCTTTTTTTTTTTTTTTTTTTTAGATTTTCCATTTCCATTTACTTGGCTGGCTGGGTACCTGGCTATGCTTGCAGGGGCTGGTATGACCTTCATTGTCCAAAGTAGTTCTGTTTTCACATCTGCTATTACACCTCTTGTTGGTAAGCTGTCTGTCAACATTGTATTCTTTATCCTTATGTTTTATCTTCTTCTTGTTCCAGAACCACTCAAGCTTGTTTGTTTTTTTTTTCTCCCAGGCATTGGTGTTATAAGCATTGAGCGCTCTTATCCTCTTACCTTAGGAGCTAACATTGGTACAACCACAACAGCTATACTTGCAGCTTTAGCAAGTCCAGGAAGTACACTAAAATATTCATTACAGGTCAGTACAAACCAATACTTCCTTGACTTCATTTAGAAATTGTGACCTTTCTGAATAAAAGCCTGATAAAATTAGCATGATTGCAAATATCCTCTATTGGAACATGGATATTGTGTTTGATTTTGTGTGTCCTGTTAATGACGGCTCATTGATTGTTGATGTATAGTGAAATTTTACTTTGATAAAGTTGGATTGATTTTAATGAATTCATTCAGAAGTGGGACAAGGTTGGGCATCTGACCACTCAGCATGGGATCTTTGCAACCTGGGATTTAGTGCCCACATTTCTGACCGCTCTCTTAGCAGATCCTCTACTTGGGTTGGTAATTTCTGTAAGATCATCTTCTCAGTGCCCTGTCTCTGTTTGTACCCTGGACAGGGACTCTGGTCATTTAGCAAGATGTAGCAGTGAGAATACGTACAGCTGTTTTCTCACTGTAATTCTGTGTAGATTTCTCTGGATTCCTTGTCTCAGGGAAGTAGGCAGCTTGCCTTGGGCACCATTTGCCTTCTTTAAAGAACATTCCGGGTAGAAGGCAGTATTTGAAGACAAGAACCCTCTACATCAAAGAGTGAAGATAATTTAGTGTTCTTTTGATTTTTTTTTTTTTTACTAGCCACAATGAAAGCTATTGACCCACGTGGAAAACCAGAAAGAAAATTATAGCAATGATTTTATTGTCCTCAGGCAAGATAAAATATATGTAATCATGAGAACACATTATCTTGATCAGGCTCAGATTTTGTGATAAGTAGCTATTTTTATAATGTACTATAAAAATGAAAACTATACTTTCATGCTTGCTTTAGTCTGATAATAATTAGAGAAGGAAAATAACATAATTGGAGCAGGGAACTTACTGCTTAGTGCACATATTCTTATTTATCCCAAATGACTTCTGAAAGCTTGAGGAAGTAGCTGTCTCTTGGCATTTACATTTTATAGAGAATTTTGAAGTTGGCCCTTATTTTTTTTATAAAGAATTTTTAAGTATTAATCGGGTGTTAGCTAATTTGGGGAAAATCCAGGTTTCTCTATAACCTTAATGCAATATCTCATTTATGCTTCCCTCTAAGTTCTCCTGTAGCTCTCACTCTGAACATTTCCTTATAGCTGCTTTCTTTCTGATGCACCCTCCTTGCAGCTGCAAGCTGCTTTTTACCTTCTCGGGTGCCATGAGATATGTTATGTTCTTTAGGCTTGCCTCGTTGTCAGATGCTGTGCCCTGTGTGCAGGCAGTGGGTCTGTGTCTGGAGGATGTGTTACTGCATCTTTGCTCTGCACTAGCAAAAGCCTTGCAGTGAAATAGCATCAAGGATGGGAGCAGAGGAAGAGGGGAGCAAGGGAAGGAAAACTGCGGAGTGTTAGGACCACTGCAAGCTGTTATTATGTGGGTAGGAGTTTTTAAAGGCATTTTAACTACTGAGCTTCTCTGATATTTTTGTTTCCAGATTGCGCTGTGCCACTTTTTCTTCAACGTCTCTGGGATTATTCTGTTTTACCCGCTGCCTTTTACCCGTCTGCCAATCCGCATGAGCAAGAGCTTGGGCAACATAACAGCCAAGTACAGATGGTTTGCTATATTTTATCTTCTCATCTGCTTCTTTCTCTTGCCTTTGTTTGTATTTGGTCTATCCCTGGCAGGCTGGCCAGTCCTTTTGGGTGTTTGCCTTCCCCTGCTTGCTCTTTGTATTGCTGTGGTTGTGATTAATGTTATGCAGTCGAAGAAGCCACACTCACTGCCTGAGAAGCTCCAAAACTGGGATTTCCTACCCATCTGGATGCACTCGCTGGAGCCCTGGGACAATATGATTATGTCTTCGCTTGCCTTTTGTGGGAAACACTGTTGCGGCTTCTGCAAATGCTGCAAAGTCAGCGCAGAACAGGAGGGTGCCAAAGACAAGCAGATAAAAACTATGGAGGTTTATGAAAACACCATTGCAATGGCTGATGAAGACAGAGGTGTAAGAAGAGTAGCACCCGTGGCTTGTGTTGAAAAAACGGGCACAAATAACACAGCCTTATAGTAGTGGACAACCCCCAGTAGTCGAGATGCAGCATAGGACACTAAGGCTCTTGAGGACCAGCTGGGACAATGCACTGAGGACAGAGTGAACATTTTGTTAGGACAGCAGCTAGCCGTACATCACTCGTCAAGGAATGGAGTCAAACAAGCTTGGCAGTCCCCAGAAAATCTGTGATCAGGTGAAAAGCTAGGGACAGATTTGCTTATAGAGGATCTACTAGGTGGTCTGTTCATCCAATGCTATTGGTAGCAAACTAAAGAAACCCTGTGTAGTCCCACGAACTGAAAGGATGAAAGAAGGGGTGAACCATTCAAACTTCAGTAGGAAAAAAAACCTAAAACCAAACAAACGATGTGCTTATCAAACAGCCTCCCTGACCTGCTGGATTGTTCAGCGAAAGTCACTTTATGTTACGCATAAGACTCTGGAAAAGAAAACAAACAAACATAAAAGAATCCTAATATTCTCATTTGCCTGTTTGCAGTGATGAAAAGGGAAAATAATAGTCCCAGTTTGGACAGAATCTGTTCTGTGTGCATGGAGGGAAAATAAAAGGCTCCTTCAGGAGCCCGGCAAGTCCTGCTGGGCATAAAGGTCCCATGAGGCCATTTTGAGCCCTCCCTGATCCCTGTAACACTGGGGATGGGAGCACTCGCCTTTTCTCTCAAAATGAAGGCCAAAATGTGCTTGATGTGTAACCTTCAACAGGCAAAGGGATCATGTGGTTTGCAGGCACCAAGTGGCTGCTGAAGGGCTTGGTGACTTGGGACGTGGCTCAGTGGCCGTTCCTCTCCAGATGGTCCTGCCTGATCTGTTCCCTTCTCCAAAGGACCTGTCCTGGCACAGGCAGAGGAACTGTGCAGGAACAGGGACCAGTGGCTGCAGTGAGGGAAGAGAAAGCCTCCCAAAGCAGGGCTGAGGCCAAGGGCTGTGTGTGCGGCCGTGGCTCCCCCTCACTGGGCCACAAAATGGCCTTGAGGGTAGTGCTGGAGTCTGGCTTTGGAGCTGCAAGAGAGCTGCAAGCGCAAGGCCTACGTGAGAGACAAAGGAGCGTTCACTCTGCACCTTCACTCTATGCTCTGAACCGCCCACCCGCCTTGGGGATAATGTGAATTTTACTACAAATTTTATGTAGCAATCAGATCCCAAATAAAAATCCACAGTGTAGTCGTATACGACTTGCTGGGAAGCCACCTGCGCTCAAACCTTACTGTTACTGATGTTTTAGTAAGGGCTTGTGAGACTTCTCGGAATCACAGAAAGACAAAACGTGTCATTTCAGCCTAAGGAAAGAGTATTTTTAAGAAGCATTAATACCTCTGCTGGCCTTCAATAGCTTAGACGTAAGTACGGAGTAGTATCCAGGTCCGACCACTTCAGGAAAAGAATCTGGTGGTTGGAGGTAAGCCAAGTTTCATTTGGAGACAGTTTACATGGCTGAGTTGTAGATGAAATTCAGTACAGAAATGCTGGCAAGACCCTTAGTTTGGTAGAGCCACTCAGTGCTGCTAGGATATAGTGACTTCTGAATAGTGGTTTGTTTTCTGCTCTAGAATTCAGTAGGCAGAATTGAGCTGTCAGGTAAATATGTACATTTTAGAAGTAAAAATTAGTTCATTTACTTTCTTTTTTTTAAACTGAGCTTTCAGCTGGCAAACTAATTTGTTAAATCTGTTTGTAAATCGTATCCATACTGAGATTCTAACTTGCTTTATAATCAGAGTGAATTTCCACAAGCTTTGGTGTAGTTCTGCTCTCCTTAGGTTTAGTAACAGAGAGCAGAGGTATGCCAAACTGTTTTACTGTTTTTTATTTTTAAATTTATTCATTTTCCTTCATGTTGTTCAAACAGAATTTTGTCAGTATCTGATTTTTTTAAGTGGAATTTTATTATCTTCAATAGTTGTTCCTAGTTTTGTTCTCAGAATTCTGGATGCTTTCACAATGTTTCTTTAAATGCCAGCTTGCATTTCCTATGCTCTGCTTCTTCAGACATGGAAAAAAATGTCAGGAATTCTTTCAAAGTTATCTCATATTTCCATTAACCCTCCATTGAAATAGGGGACATTTTCATCCACTTTTAATCATTTCTTAAACAACTTGTCCATTGAATCTTGAAGTAAAGCCATCAAGCTCTACTTGATGATAACTTCCAGCAAAACATCAGAGAAAAAGCAGGTCTTAACGAGAATCAGGGCAGTAATTATATTCAGACATACAAGTACTTTGTATTCCTTGTTGTAACATTTCCCCATGCCATATTCCATTCTTACTTGCCTCTCTGTCTGCTTATGAATTTCGGGCCAGGTTGTGCTACTGTTTTAGGCAGGTTCCAGCACAGACACTTCACAGCACAACAGGTCCTGGTGTATTTCCCCCCATGCTCTTAAACATACTTGCTCTTTATTTATAATTATTTGAGTGTACAGGTTTTTTTCATAAGTTATACCGAAAAAGGCTCATGGGATTGTGTTATATATTACATATTTGAAAACTATGCAATGTTTATCTATAAAAATGTAAAAAGGAAGTACTGTATATTTTGTAACATAACTTTTAAAACTGTTTGTAACTGTGTATACTATATATTATAGAGGGTATTGGCTCCAAGGACACATTACACAAAGATTTGTTAGTAAAGCAGGATCAAATTTCTTAAAGATAAAAAACACCTACATATTTTCTTAATATGGCTTAATGCACAAGGACATTGAACTCTACTTTTCTAACAAGATTTAGAATTTTGGAAGTACAAGGTTTCTAAAAATGCTTTTTTAAACTCTTAGACAGTATATCTTTTAACTGTTCTGAGGGCAGTATATGGCTTTATACTTTGTCATGAATACTCATCTTGTCCATCCTCGTGCATTGAATGTACAAATAAAGAGAAGTTTTAAAATACTAACATTTTTCGTAATATCCATTTATTTATGTAAGAAGGAAGTTTATATAAAAATACATGTTTAGGCAACTTCTATTCTGAGATGATACAGTGTAAAGAGAATAAGGACAGCATTAACCAGTGAATAAAACCACCTCAAACCTGTGTGTCCAACAGATTTTTGGAGGAAGGAATTTTTTTATTTTTTTAAAAAAGGCTGTTAGGGCTGGGCACGGCTGTCCGGGGGAGCAGGTTTTGCGGCCGGGCGCTGCAGCCCGGCCTCGGGGAAGGGAAGCAAAGGTTGCCCGCGTGCTCCTGCAGCCAGGGTACGTGTCACCGTGCCGGGCTCGGGGCCTGCTTGCTGGGGAAAGGACAGCAAGCCAAAGGTTTCCAAAGGGCCTCTCAGATCTCAGGATGTAAGTCACCTCAGGCCCACCTGCAAGATCAGTGGCAAATATAGTTTTGCTCTTGTTTGATTAACTGTGATCTATGTGGCTCAAATAAAAGAGCCTGAGAAATAAAAGGTAGAAAAACAGACCTTAAAAGCCTTTAAGACTATTATAAGTTGTTGGACTACCTAACCCTAAAACGAAAGGTAACCTAACCCCGATGCAACTGTCATTCCAAACTACACCTTATTTTAGTGAGATGAAGATAACAGAAATATTTCTTATAACACAAATATTTATGCAATATAGTATAAACCACCTTCTTCCCAAAAATGTAAGCAGAAAGTACCTTAGGCCTGTGGTTTAAAACTTACATCTCCCTACATTCACGTGAAAAGAGGTGCATTCTGAATGCCATCACCCTCCATGACTCACTGTCCCTTATGAATCAAAGACCATCCAGAACACGCACAGATCAGGCCATGTGTCTCACAATTTCCAAACCCTTCCAAGGGCTGGGGAGGGCAAAGCTCAGCAGTGCCTATATGTGCTTAGTAACTGTAAGAGCTGTGCTGAACAGAAGACTTTAAAGCTCTCAAAAAAATGCTTCAGCTGGTTGCCTAATTGCTCTTTTTTTTTTTCCTCATCTAAACTTGTGGATTAACTGTGCTGTTCACAGCTCCTTGTGGAGCTTTTTTTTCTTTTGTCTCTGTCTTTTGTTCCTTTTTTGTTTGCTTGTTCCTGTGGTTCCAAATCCCTTGAGTATTCTGCATTTAAGCTGTATTAAGCCTGCCATTATCAAGAATTCTTATCAATCAGAAATATTGGTTAACTACTTCATTATTTATCGCTGCAGCTACAGTCATTGGGGAACAATCTGATTAATATGCACTGTTCTAGGGATCTAGCTTTGCAGGGGTCCTTTGGTAGAGTAAACCAGAGACCTTAAGACAAATGTTGTCAAGAAAACAACTGGAACAATTTCTGGTCAACTGTTTTAGGCAACATCCTGTAAATGTAGCATAAATAATCTGGGGTGCAGATTGGTGTGGTACTGCTAACAATACTGTTAACCAATGAACAGCAGCGAAGAATCTGATCCTAACAAATAAAAGTAAATAATGAACAGTACTGAGCAAAAACCCACTACTTCAAAAGAAATATACCCTATACAAGTAGCAGAGGGTTCCAGTTGTACAGTGTCCATAGGCTGCGCTTCTGTGCAAGTGCTTTGTCCATGTTCAGACAGATTTTTCTCTAGCTAATGTCTATTGCTGCTGTGCCATGTGCCGAAGACTTTGCACTGTATGTGTCAACCCACTTATAATACTTCTCTAGATCTTATTCCTTTTAATATATTTTATGACAAAAGAAATGTATCATTCATTTGAGAGAATGAGTGTTTACTGAATATATTGCACAGTAATTACCCTGATTTTCTTGAGCTGTCCCTAAACAGATTTCCCATAACAAAAGCTGTCTAAGTATTTCAACAAGAGGGAGAAATAGAACGAAGGCTAATATTAAAAAGTTACAAACATTCCGTCTTACTCAGCACCTGATGAAATTTCCTAATTGTCGTTTACACTTTTGGGGCGTATCAATCTTTTTACGCTGCTCAGTGTGTAAGTAAACATTACTGTGGCATAAACAATCAAGGTAATTACAGGAGAAGATATTTTGCAACTAACAGCATAGCTGGCTGGCTTTTTTACACAATACAAAAAGCATAAATTACAGGACATGCAAACAGTTTATGCACCAAATGCTGCCCTTGGTTAGGCAACGTGCAGCCATAATTAACATTAGGAAAATCTGCTCACGTGTAAGCTAGGCTAGCATCAGGCCCTATTTTAAGTGACTAATGCTATGGCCTCAGGCACT